GGAGAATACAAATATAAATAAGAAAGTTTCTGCTTTAATCGAGAAATATTTTTAGCTTAACCAATGTAGCAAATGAATCTCAATTTTCCTTCTTGAGGGGTTTTTAAATTACTGCTTAGAAGATATTGGAAGCATAATGAAACACATAGTTATTTTGCACCTAGTATGGGCAAAGTGCTATGCTAGTTTGGGATTTTAAAAGTTAATATTTTCTCTTTGCCCTTAAGAGTAGAAAGACTCATGCAGGCTGAAGTAAAACAAAACAAGCTGCAGCAATATAATTCAGAAATTACTCTTGAACAAAACAGGAAATGTAAGTAGTATATAGCATCCTATATAATAGGTATAACATTCCACATTTAGTTAAGTCATTAATTATTGCTATATTGTTTTATGACATGCAGTGTAGTAAAGCTAGAACAAATTTGGAAGTTAAGTTAACATAAGGAGATTAGAATTCTGGTTTTGGAATATAGCATTTAGCCTCTGTGGGCTCAGTTTTCAGGGTCATAAAATTATCATGAGAGTAGTACCTTTGGAGGTGTTGTAAGGATTAAATGAAATAGTGTATGGGAAGATCTTACTATCCTGTCTGGCACATACTAGATCGGCAATAAATAATAATTGTTATAAATTTTCTTATTGTACCTTGGGAAAAAAACCCATCCATTTTAAGCAGTTGCACACATGTGTGCCCTTTGTCCTCTTTCTATCCCTTACTGCCTCTTCTCTGGTCCAGGTCACCATCATCTATTAACTTGACTAGGATAACAGCTTCTTAGAAGAGCCCTTCTTCTGCTCTTGCCTCCCTAAAATCTAATGCATATACAACTGCCAGAATGATTTTATAAAAGATAAAATTCAGTCATATAATTTCCTTACATCAAGTCCTCGGTGGCTTTTCAATGGCTATGGGATACAAATCAAACTTCTTCCCACAGCCTTCAAGTAAATCAGAGCCAAACTGAATATCAGAGGAAGAAAACCCAGGGAAAGAACATACAAAAAATGATTAACATCTGTGTTTACTTGATAGGACTACCGTAACAAAGTACCACATATTAGTGGGCTTGAACAACAGAAATACATTTTTGCATAATCCTGGAGGCATCAAGGTATCAGTAAGGTTGCTTTCATCTAATGCTTCTGTCTTTAGCTTGGAGATAGCATCTCTTCTTTGTGTCTTTACCTGGTCTTCCCTCTGTTGTGTCTGTGTTCTAATCTCCTCTTCTTACAAAGATACTACTCATATTAGATTAGGGCCACCATAATGACCTCATATTAATATAATTATCTCTTTAAAGACTTATCTCCAAATACAGTCATTACAAAGTTCTGAGAATTAGAACTTCAACATATGAGTTTGAGGGAATCATAACGTAGCCCATAGCAACCTCTGCATGTATCTCTCCCTCTTTTGCTGATATTCTTACAAATTCTATTCCATATAGTTTGAACACTAACCACCATGGCATACAGTATAAATGTATCCCTTGAAACATGCCAGTTTTCAGGATATGGACTCAGGGGTAGGTGGGCATTCTGTCTACATACCCTGTAGCTCCTTGTAGCTCTCGTTTCTTATTGTTCTCTTTCTGTCTCACTTGGCTTTAGCCACGCTGACCTCATTTCTAATCTTTGAATATACTAAGGCAGATTCCCACCTCTGACTTTTGTCAATGACAGTTCTCCCAGCACTACCAGTGGCTCCTGCTTATCTTCTAGGTCTTAATTTTTTTTATTTATTTTTTAATATCCTTTATTCATATGTGCATACTGTGTTTGGGTCATTTCTCCCTCCTTCCCCCTCCCTTTCCCCCACCCCCTTCCTCTCCCCCCCACCCCTTCACTTCCAGGCAGAAACTGTTTTCCCCTTATCTCTAATTTTGTTGAAGAGAGAGTATAAACAATAATAAGAAGGACCAAGGGTTTTTGCTTTCCTGTACATATGTATTACATTCTAAGTTGATTCTTCTCGAACTGACCTTTTCCCTAGTCCTGGTCTCCTTTTCCTATTTGCCTCTGTCGCTTCAAAGTTTCTGCATTAGTTCCTTTGCAATGGACATCAAATGCTATCATGTTTTTTGGAGTTTCTTACCTATCCTCATACCTCCCTTGTGTGCTCTTGCTTTATCATGTGACCAAAGTCCAATCCCCTTGCTGTATTGCCCCTGATCTAAAGCCCAAATATGAGGGAGAACATACAATTTTTGGTCTTCTGGGCCTGGCTAACCTTGTTCAGGATGATGTTCTCCAGTTCCATCTATTTTCTTGTGAACAATAAGATTTCATTCTTCTTCATGGCTGAATATAATTCCATTGTGTATAAATACCACATTTTCTTAATCCATTTGTCAATAGTGGGCATCTTGGCTCTAGGTCTTAATGTAAGTACTGATTTGAAAAAGCACTTTTGAGCTGCCTTCCCAGTATATTCCTTTGTTACTAGCCTACCCCAGCCCCCTGAAATAGCATTCTGTCACTTAATTTATTTCTTTTCTATTTATCTCTGACTCTCACACTAATATGTTAGATCCTTGAGGCAAGGAATTCATCAGTCTTATTTAAACACTGCATCATCAAGGCCTGTCATGCAAGCACATAGCTGGTACTCATTTGAGTGCTTATTAAATAAATGTCCAAGTGAAATCCCTTTACTAACCATAGGTTTTTAGGATCTCACTCAATCTCAAAGATATTTACTTTACAACAATGTAAAGTAAATTATGTCATACATACTAATTCTGAACATTAAACACTTCAAGAAACAACTGAAAAATTAGTATGTTGTATATGAATTTAGAAATTCTTATTATAACTAGAACCAAGAACTAGCATATAACCACACATCTTACAATAAATTAATGAAGATAAATATTGGCCCAATTCTTCATTCCTGTATACTCTCCCAGTTCCTTAGAATGTCTAAGATACTAATATTTTCTAGGACACAGGTTGTAAACACTATTCTAGGAAACAAGTGAATAAATGTCTACATCTATTACTTAAGTAGAAATTATCAGGCCCTACATTATGCTTGTTAAATCAGCTGATCTGGGGGTACAGTCCAGCAGTCTGTGCTTTACCAAGATTTCCAGGTAATTCTGATATAGTTAAACTATGAGAACCATTTTAATAAATTGATCAAAGTAATTTTTGGTTTCTCAGGAATCTTGTCAAATAGTTCATTTGTTTGGACATTATCAACTTTATTCATTTGCAGTAACCCATCTCCCTTGCTCTGACTTACAATGATATAGTAATTCTACTTCTCAATACTTTCACAATTGTCCTCACAATGAACTAACCAAATAGTTTCTCCTACTCTAGAACCTGTTTGAGTAAAACTATTATCTTCTAGGTTTCAACAAACACTACCTGCTTCCTGAATTGCCTATTTCTGGAACAATTTGGCTTTAGTGAGCTTATTACTACCATTTTTGTTGTTTCCAATTTCTCATTGTAATAAAAATTTAATTAACTTCTTTGCTTTCCAAAGAGGTAATTGTTATAAGGTAAAAGTCATGATAGAGTAGCATGAGCTACACTTTTTCTCTCATTATACTCCCCAAAGCTATATTTTTCTTAGGCTACTTATTCAATAAAAAATTCTCTCATTCTCTCCGAATCTCTCTTTCTTTGTGTGGCTTGATCTTCATCTTTTAGAGAGAGAAGTATTTAATATGAGGCCAACTTTAGAACTAGAACAGTAAGTGATTTCAATTGTTAGTTGCCTTCCTTGGCACAAATCCAATTTCCCATCCTATATCCAAGGGAGCTACTCCATCTGAATAACAGATGTTATTATTTCCAGTTATGGAGTATCTAGTCATGCAGTGTTATAAATCATTGTATAAGGAAACAAAGTTCAAGAGGGCATCAATTCCTATAATTTTATTAGTAATGAAATGCTGTATTGTCTATAATTATGTCTACTATCATTGAGCAAACATTGTGTTATAGGAAAAGCAATTTATACTTATTATCTCAATGAATACTACTAATACTCATTAAAATCTTTACATATGAAGATATGTGACTTGACCAAGGTCATACAAGAAGGTATTTGGGACAAATTTTGGACTCCAAAATTCTTTATTTTTAGAATCATGTTAAACCCAGATTGTGTCAATGTTCCTTTGCTTAAAATCTGTGTTAGCCATATTGTCATCATGCCCTCGCCTTTCCCTTTGGCCTAGACATCTCTATCCTTGTTCATGAACCAGTTTTACTTAGGCATAAGAAAGAATCTTAGTAGTGGCCATTGTCAGAAGTGAAGAGAAACTAATAAGGAATGAGTATTTTTATGAGAGAGTTACATGATTAGCATCTCATTTGAGCAATTTCATTTGATCGCTATAAAAACGTTGCTTGACAAAGGTGTAGTTGCTCCGATTGTGGGGTTAAGTAACTTGCCCAAGATCACACAGCAAGTTGGTGACAGAGCATGAGTAGCTGTGACTTACAGAAGAGATTGTCTTTGATCCCAATCACCAGTGGATGGTGTGCCTCTTGTTAAAGGTGTCATGAATCATTTTTAAAGTTATTTTATCAGTATCCTCAGTTCTCCAAAGACACATTCCTTGCAGTCATTATGATTTTTCTCCTCTTCACTCCTGCGGCCAAGTTTACTCTTTTATAATAGCTCACTTCTTTATAGAGGCCAATCAGGTGATGGGCTATAAAAGAATCACAAAGGCTAAAAGCTTTTGTGTCTCTGCACTGCATGTTCTAACAGTGCCCAGGGGTGATGTATCTTTGAAGAAACAGGTTCCTGGTAAGTCACTGGGGTTTTTTTTTTGACTGTTAAGTAAACACTGCTTTTTGGTTTGGCTGTACTTTAATCTGTACTATTTGTAGAAATTCATTATCTCACTGAAAAATTAAGATGCTTATAAAAATGTTCTAGCATATCTGCATTTACTCTTTACTTGTCTAACCCTCCAAGCCTGTAAAATTGGTAATTATTTTTTCACACTTATTTACTTCATACTCACTAGGTCCTGTTACAGAAGTGAAAACTGATATATATGTCACCAGCTTTGGACCTGTTTCTGATGTTGAAATGGTAGGTTTTTGGGAAACTTAACTTACCTTTTGAGGTTTGAAGAAACATGCCAGAAAGGAGGCAATTACTATTTATTTTATTGTCAACCACACAAAGCTAGGAAATCAAAGAACATCCTAATTAAAGTTTATAAAGATTATGATACTATTTGCATTTGAGCTCTAATATTTGATAGTTGATTTAAAGTTTTTCTTTTAACAAAGAGAAGAACTTTCCTAATATTAATCACATAGCACAACCTTGTTTTTCTTTAGGAAACTACTGACTAGTAGAAAATTAGAGACTAGAATTAGTTTTAGTATGAACTAATTCTATACACTGTATTATAGTCCTAATTTCATTTTGTATTTCATGTTGGCCCAATTGCTAGCTTTCTTCTCATCTTACCACTAGCCTTTTTGTCCCTCCCTCTCTTATGTGCTTAAGGATGTTTCTAGTACCAAGCATGAATCAAGAATTCATCTAGTCTGTTGTACTATCTTGTGTTAAATATGTTTAGTTAACATGACAAGGAATCTACTTTTACTGTTTTGATTTTTTGTTGTTGTTGTTTTGGTAACACTGGGGTTTGAACTCAGAGTTTCCTGCTTGCTAGGCAGGCACGCCTACAGTTTGAGCTACTCCTCTAGTCCTACTTTTTTTCCTTGACATTAAGTTTCTAATGACTTTGAAACCCTTGTATTATTCGACTAATTTTAATAAACTTTGTGAAAATGAAATTTATCTTTTATCTATTTTACTTCATCTTAAAGAAATGCCTATCATTTTATGGTTAATTATGCAGTGATTTTTGTTACACATTAACTGATTTTTGCTATCTGTTCTAAAGCACAGCCATAAATATCTACTTTGGGCAGTTTTTATTAAATTATAATAATTATTCTTGAATGGTTAATATCTATGGTAATTTAATTTTTATGAATATAGAAAATGAAGGGATCAAAATGGCCATAATGTACTCTAATTAGTGATAATCTTTTTGTTCTATTGATTTATGATCATTTCTGCTTCTATAAATTTCACTTCATATACGCAGTCTTTGTTTACAATTGGGAAGAGACTAGAATTTATTGCATTTTTCTGTGTATATATATGGAATCATCTGTGATTTGCATATGTCACAAACCAATTTTCCTAGGAATACACAATGGATGTGTTCTTCAGACAGACGTGGATTGACAAAAGACTAAAGTATGATGGACCCATTGAAATTTTGAGATTGAACAATATGATGGTAACAAAAGTATGGACCCCTGATACTTTCTTCAGGAATGGAAAGAAATCTGTCTCACATAATATGACAGCTCCAAATAAGCTTTTTAGAATTATGAGAAATGGCACTATTTTATATACAATGAGGTAAACATTTTTTCTTTCCTTTTTTTCTTTTATTTTCCCTCTTTCCTCCAGCCTCCCTCCTTCCCTTGTTTTCTACCTTCTTTCCTTCTCTTCCATTTTAGGGACCTATAAAATAAATTTAAATAAGGGCTTGATTTTATTTAATTACATTTTTTCCATCACAGACTCACCATAAGTGCAGAGTGTCCCATGAGATTGGTGGATTTTCCCATGGATGGTCATGCATGCCCTTTGAAATTTGGGAGTTGTAAGTTATAAGAAAATCATTCAAATTTCTGATTACCTCATGTAAACTGATATTTTATATACATATATATGTGATTTTCCATAATTTAGCATTTAAATCATTGTCCATGACAAACAATCATCCAAGGTCTGATTTTAGGAGATTGTTTATTAATACTTTTAATTAAAGAAATACACCCCCAACAAAAACAAAAACCTGTTTTTACAGATGGAGACTGAGTTAGAATTAATAGGTTTGTGGTCAGTGGGAAAATTTAGAGACCTATGGAAATGTATGTATATGTTGGTGATATAACAGAAAGTATGAATTTTTTGTTTCCATTTGTTATGTGTGTGTGTATTTGGAAATTTAATAATTCGTGTTGCAAACAGAGTCTATGCTTGGAAAAAGTCAAATAAGGCTCATTACTTTCTGTCATAAGTTAAAGCATTATAAGTAGCACCGTTAGTATAAAAGTGGCTGAAGCATGGCAAAAGCATAGAGGGAGGTGCGGTTTGAGAGAATATAGCACCTTGTAGACCACATTTAGAAGTTTGGAGTCTATCTAAAACCAAGGGGAAGGCCTTGAAAGGTTTTGCAAAGTGGTGTGGCGCTCTTTGACATTTGTGTAGAGAATGGGTTGTAGAGAGATTGGAGTGGAAGCAGAGGAGAGCTAGAGTTGTGTTTTAATGTGAGGAAGGATGGCAGTGGCTTAGAGTAGCATGGTACTCAAGGAGCAAGTGTGAAGTAGATGTGTTTGGGAGATTTTGTACCAATGAAGGCAAGACGATGAGATGAATGGATAGGAGAGAATATGAAAGTCTTTCCTGAAGCTCCCTTCTCTGAAATGGTAACAAAATGTGATTGCTCTTCTAAGGTCTGCCTCATACATTCATTTCAATCAGAATCTACCAAAAATAGATGCTGGCTTTTACTATTGCTTCAGACTTTCAGTTGCACTGATTGTGAAACTGTTGCCTGCTGTTATCATTGCTCATTGCTTAACTTAATGAGAACCGGCAGTCACCATTCTTTTTATAACCCTAGTAATCACAGTATTAGGTGGGCTAACTGCAAGCTAGAGAAAGCCATTTGCTCCCTGACCAATGGTTTAATGAGAAAAGATAAAAACAGAAAAATACATAGAGAGTGATCTCACTGGGGCCACAATTAAAATCCATTTGTATTGTAATAATTTAAATTTCATCCATGAGAGTTCTTATCTAGATGAAGTCTTCTCTACCTCCTATGCTTCCCAGTGACTTGAGCATAGTTGGTGTACAGTCGGGCTTTGTAGAAAAATAAAGAAATCATGCTTTGGAAGGCGAGTTTTTTGGATTGGGGATTTAAAAGAGAGCACATCATAGTCAGCATGTAATTTTCCTGGGAGAATTAACCCTTAATTTTTCCAGATGGAGAAGAAAACACTGCTATGTTTATAATTCAGAGGAATGAGTAAAACAGGAATGAAAAAGAATATTGTAAGAAGGTAGGGTTAGCCAAGAAAAGGATACTTGCTTTAAAAGATCATAGACAAGAACATAGTGTTTAGGACTTTAAATAAATGATTGTGAATATATTTCAGGAGATAAATGCTGATACATAACTGTGTCATACTTAATGACAACACACTCCTCACACTTTGCTTTGCTAGGTTGTTTATAAAGAGAGTCTTTCTGGATATGAACTCCTTTTGTAGAATTAAACAATTCCACGGAGGACCTCCTGTGTTCTAATAATTTTAGGAAAGATTGTAGGGGAGTGAAGCTATCTGTTCTGGGTAGACTGGTAAGCAAGCAGCTGGTCTCCATTTGCACTGAATACCGAATAATAGAAAATGGGCTCAAATTGCCGCTGGGAAATATTTGTTGAAGATAGAAGAGAAAATGTTGTGATTTTAAGTGTTTAAAGGTAGTGGAACTGGTTGTGTAATTATATTCCCCAGAGAGCTACAAACAGCATAGCCAGTTGTTCCTGTAGAATGGTTCCCAAATATAATGGGTATTGCTCAGAAGCTGAGAGTAGAAGAGGTGACCCCTGCAGAGCTCGCCCACCAGTAGGATTTGTTTTTGTTTTGTTATTGTGTGTTTAGAGGCAGCATCTGGTACATTTCTAAATGGTAGAACTGGATTAGTGTGAAAGAAGTCAGTGTTGGTCAAGCTCTGGAAGACAGTAAAAAAATTGGATTTTGGCAGTACTATTTTGGGGGTTTGATATAGCTGCTCTTTTCCAGCTGCCTAGCTTATTGGCATGGAAACACGTTTAAGTATATTGATTCAGAAGTAGCTGGGTACATGCCTTACTTGTAGTCTTTCCTCCAATTCTTTGGCACACAAAAAATAAATCCTGCTGAGTTGCAAGGTTATTTGTTGAATTTGTGTAGTCTTCAAAATTGTAGGCATGTTTGAATAAATCATAATAAAAATGGTTTTCACTTATTCCGTCTTTCTTGGACATGTGTCTTATTAAGTGTTGACCAGAATAAGAGCTCTTGACTCTAAGCACTTCCTCTGCTCTCACTCAGATGCATATCCAAAGAGCGAGATGATCTACACCTGGACCAAAGGTCCTGAGAAGTCAGTAGAGGTGCCCAAGGAGTCTTCCAGCTTAGTTCAGTATGACCTGATTGGGCAAACAGTGTCAAGTGAAACGATCAAAACGATTACAGGTGAGATGCTTAATGGTTAAACTCAATATGCTATTTGGTCTCAGCAATAGAGTTTTGTCCTAGCCTTTTCATTGAAATATCTAGTGTTTATATGGGAACAACAAAAAATTTCCAGAAATAGAACTGATGTATAAACCACAGCTTATTTATACTTGTAGTCTTATTTCAGTTTAAAATAAATTCTGAGTTGGTGAGATGTGAGAAGTGAGTTGGTTTTCTTACTCAGAAACAAAAGTCAGTAATAAAATACATTAAAACTATTTTCAACAAAATTTTGAGCAAGAAGTCTGGCTTTGCTTCTTTGGTGTTTTTGAAAAACAATTTTTTTAGTCTTGCCCAATTTTACAGTGTTACCTTCCCCTCTTTTCCAAAGTAAAGCAAAAGCTAAAGCTTAATTACATGGTTTATTAAGGGTAGACATTAAAATTGTTATTACATGAGTAGCTGGATGGCTATTATTGATGATTCTTGGTCTTTGAAATGTAAATGGGATGAATCATAGGATTTAGCTTTTATCATATTTAATGTGAAAATTGGCAGATCATTGCTTGTTCTAAAATTGTTCCTTCTATACAAGTATCACCAGGAAAAAATATTAATGATATTTATTTAATTCATCTGTGCTGCCATAACAAAAATATCATAAACTGGGTAGTTTATAATGAACAGAAATTTATTTCTAACAGTTCTGGAAGTTGGAAAGTCCAAGATTATTAGTGTCATCAGTTTCAGTGTCTGGTGAGAACTTGTTTCCTGGTTCAGAGAATTGAGCCAGGTGTCTTCACATGAAGACTCTTACTGGGGAATACAGATGGGGTGGGGGGTGGGGGGTGGGGGTTCTTTTATAAGGACCCTAATCCCATTTATGATGTCTTCATTCTCATGATTTAACCACCCCCTCCAAAGCCAACTTCTAATGCCATGCACCATAGTGGTGATTAGGTGTGAACATACGAATTTTGAGGACCCAGACCACAGCAATAGTTAAAATTTATTCAGCTCTTGCTATCTTACAGGCACCATTCTAAACTCATTGAATAATCACCTGTGTTAGTCATTTTGTTGCTATGACAAATACCTAAGAGAAACATTATAAAGGAGGAGCGATTCCTTTGTCTCATGGTATCGGTCCATCGCCTGCTAATGTCATGGCTTTTAGACCTGTGGTGAGGCAGCAACATCTTAGCGGGAAGAGCATGGTGGAGGAAAGCTGTTCACCTCATCACAACCAGGAAGTAGAGAGGAGGAAGGAGCCAGGGAGAAGACATAACCTTCAGAGGCTTGCCCCTATTTCCTCCAGCTAGCATCCACTTATTTAAGTTTCTACAACCTCCCAAAATAGTGCCGCCAGCTGGGGATCAGGACTTCAACATATGAGCATATGTGGACATTTCATATTTAAATCATAACACCACTCTTGAAGTAGATGGTATTACCATCTTCATCTTGCTGATGAGGAATGTGTGCATACAATATATTTATATAACTTTCTTGAGCTATACAACTATTAAATGGAAAATCTAAAATTCAAACACAGGCATTTTGAGTTCTGAAAAGCTTTTTTATTTTTACTTTTTTGGTGGTAGTGGGGTTTGAACTTAGTGCCTTACAATTGCTGGGCCAGTATTCTAACACTTGAGCCACACTTCCAGCCCTTTTTGCTAAGGTTGTTTTTGAGACAGAGTCTTTCATTTTTGGCTGGGCGGGTCTGAACTGTGATCTTTCTATTTTATGCTTCCCACCATGATTGGATGACAGATGCATCCTACTGCACCCAGGTACTGGTTGAAATGGGTCTCATGAACTTTTTGCCTGATCACAGCCTCACAAGAAGCTGGAATTACAAGTGTGAGCCACCAGCACCCACCTTGAAAACCAAGGTCTTGGATGCATATCAGAATGTTATATTATTTGAAAATTAGTAGTAATTGTAAGATTTGGAACAAAGGTGTGAAATGATGAAGTGGTTTTTGTTTTAAGAAAAAAGTTGATAGAGTAATGGTGTGAAGGGACAATGAAACTAAAATAGTCAAATTTGGGAGATGGAGTTCAGGAGAATGGAGATTCAAGGACAGCTCAGGCAAAAAGTTCTTGAGATCTCATCTCAACCATTAAAAGTTGGACACAGTTTTTTGAGCCTGTTATCCCAGCTACATGGGAAACATAAATAGAAGGATTGCTATCCAGGCCAGCCAGGGTGTAAATTCATAACCTTATCTCAAAAATAGCAAAGCAAAAAGAGCTGGGGGCATGGTTCAAGTGGTAGCGTACCTGCCTAACATGGGTAAGGCTCTGGGTCTAAACCTCACTATAATAAAAAATAAAAATAGTCAAACTCATAGAATCAGAGAGTAGAGTGGTGGTTACCAGGGGCTGAGAGAAAAGGAAAAATGAGGTACTGGTCAAAGGGCACACAAAGGGCCTAGATGGCTACTGTCTGACACAATGTCTATTGTTAATGATACCATGTTGAATACATTAGTAGGTAGGAAGAGATTCTTGGGGGCAATGGACAGCTTTAAGACCAGTTGTGGTGATGGTTTTTACTAGTGTATACTAATCTCCAAATTAATGACACTGTATAGTCAAATATGCATAGCATTTTGTATGTTAATCATACCTCAATAAGATGCTTTAGAAAATTAAGCATAAATAAAATGAGGGTAAATTAATTGTGAAAAATAAAACTGTTGTATGAGTTCTTGTTAAAAATTTATTTTAGCCTACTGTGTCCTCTATTAAAGCTATTTTGTATAAGTCCTCATACTCTGCTCCTGTATATATTCCTATGGCTTTTATCTTCAAACACCCGTTGAGACTATCATCATTTTGAGGATATCTTCTTCACATCAATTATGAAACTAAACAGAAGCCTTCTAACAAGGCACATTGCTTCTAATATGTACAACAAAAAAAGAAAAAGAAAGAAAAGCTTTGTGAAAGACTTTTATTTTCCAGTGTGTATATGGGGTTTTCAGACATATCTGGGGAGATTTGAGGTTTCTGAACCTTGGACTTCAGTCTGTGAACAAGGTCAGTGCCTCCTAAATAACTTTCTAAATATGCTTCTTTCAGAGATGGAGGGGGTGGATCTAATTAATATATATTGTAAACACTTATGCAAATGTCACAATGCACCCCCTGTACAACTATAATATGCTAATAAAAAGCAAACAAAAATGTGCTGCTTTCAGGTGTAACAGTAAAATATTTATCAGCAGTTTCCCGAAATTTTAGGGCTTCTTTCACTGATTAGCTTTTTAAGTTATACCTCTATGTTACACATATCTGTTTGTATTTTTGTTCATAGAGCTAATACTTAGAAATACAGCCCTTTCCTAAAATTAAGGCAGCTCCTCTTTAAGCTTCTATGTGTATATGTGTATGAAGTACATATGAATGAGATATATATTTACATTTATGTAATGCTTATATAGTTCACATATGAATGAAATATATACATTTCATTTCTTTCCAAAAATTAAGCTGTATATTTTCATGTGTGTGTATATGTGTTTCCATTTTTTCCAGTGGTTTTCTATAGAAGTTATATATAAGATCTGCCCTCAAAAAATTCTTAAAACAAAAGCTATTTGCTTTAGCAGTATTAGGCTTTTAAGATAGAAAGAGTTGCAAAACTTTAAAAAGGTCATAGTCCAGTTTATTAAATTGTTAAACAAGTGTTTTTCTGAGTAATGATTTCCAATGTCACCCTCATTCCATTCCCTGTTCTGTACCCCCGGTAGGAAGGTATGTATTTCTCATTGTTTGTATTAGGCACAGAGCATAATTTTTTGGTTCAAAATACTGTTTGTTAGTCTGAATTCTGATTATGAAGCCATTGAACAATTGCCTACAGAACGAATAATGTGTTTCATTTCCATTTTTGTTGCAGGTGAATACATTGTAATGACAGTTTACTTTCACCTCAGAAGAAAGATGGGCTATTTTATGATTCAGACATATATTCCATGCATCATGACAGTGATCCTTTCTCAAGTTTCATTCTGGATAAATAAGGAGTCCGTTCCAGCTAGGACTGTATTTGGTAATAGCAATTCATTTCTTGGGTGTTTTTGTATACATTACGTTTTGATTATGATTCATGAGAATAGCCCTTAGATATTTCTAAGAAAATACTGAAGACTAATATATCAACTTCTACTGAATAAAGACTAATATAAGCTTTCATTTTTAGCTAGTCAATGAAAAGTAATAATTCTTGGGGCGGTATGGGCACTTTGTCTCTTCCTCTGAGGTCCCATCAGATTTCCATTGTTGAGAACCAGTCAGGTGAAGACTAAGTGTGAATCTAGATATAATTTCACTTTCAGTGATATTTTTGGCCTCCTAGCATAATGCTGTGTAATTGAATTAAAATTATATCTAGGTGTTAAAATGAATGCACTGAGAGCTTAAAATAAAACAAATAAAATTCATGGCTGAATGAATATGAAAGTCTTAGGATAATTTAGCTTTTAATGAAGGAAATAAAATGCAAATGGTTTAAATGTATTGAATTGGAAGGTATTATGTGCCTAATTTATAAACTCATTGTTATATTCTGTCTACATAACTTTTTTTCTAAGCCAACATACTTATTCTTTTTGTTCTCAGTATGGTTTCCTATATAGAGTTCTATATGATATGAAGTTCAGAACATATGAGTATATAGTTTATTTTTTATTTTTGTGTCTGAGGCAGGATCTCATGGTATAAACAAGTCAACATATGGCCGAGACTGACCTCAACCTCAGGGGCTTCTTGCCTCTGCTTTCTGAGTGCTAGGGTTACAAGTGTGTGTTACCAAACCTGGCTTAAGAGTGTAAAACCTTTGTAACTGTTAACTAAGTCTTTTATACATCAGTTATACTTCTATATCATAAAAGTACTTATAATTTTATCTATTTTTTCCTCTATTTTTATTTATTGTTAGTAGCAAGAGCATTTCTTGATGGGATTAGAAGGAAAATGAACAGAGTTTTTCAGGAATGGAGGCTTAGTTCTTACAAAAGACGAGTTTCCCTTTGCTTTTCTATTTGATAGTGTCAAAGCCATGGTGCAAAGTACCTTATCCTACAACAGCTAAAGGAAGATGATAAGAATTGGAAGGAACAGGAACTTTTCATTTACCTCCCTATCCTCTTAGAGATAGGATGTCATAGTGTCTTTGATGAATCTGAAGTACTCCATAGATAACCACCCACCCTTTAATCTTGAAGGTATTTGAGTCCTACTGGAGAAACTCATATGCATGTGAATGTTGGGAGGCAGGTGTGATGTCAAAGTGAGCATGGAAAATAATACTATGTGCTTGGTAGAGCTGTGAGCTTTCAGTTAAGGTGTAGCTGTGTATTTGAAGTGTGGACTAATTTTTAGCTGCTAAATATAGGGGTGAAAATGAGAGTAAACCGTATATGTAAGCTTTGGATGCTAACAGAGCAGGATTTAAAATCCAAATCTGCCATTTATTTTCTCCATCCATAACATTGTATTAGCACATGTCTTCCTCACAGACTAGTGAGAATTTAAAGAGTTATGTATAGTCCTCAATACAGGGTGCATGATACAATTATTGTATGTTACTTACTCTCTTTTATACTTTTCTTGAATAGAAGAGACTTATTTTGTTCAGACTTGGTTTCACTGGTTTTTGAAGAAAACCTATATCTTTCCAGTGTGTACTACCAGGCATTCTGAAGTTCTTGATGCTTTTTTAAATATTGGGTCTTTACACATCATGTTCAGAGGCAGCCTAACTAGGCAAGAAATAATTGCTGAAGTTGAGCACAGATTCAAGTCCCATAACTTATTCCAGCACAAAAATATTAAAATATTAGGAACTGGCATCATTAAATCTTTTAAAATGTTATATTTATTTAAGGCTTTACAAATAAGAAAAACTGCATATAATCATACTTTTCTATGGGCCTAAAAACTGGGACAGAAAATAAATAATCTGTCATAGATACCCATGATGAGGAGGTAATAGATGTTGGTTTTAACCCAGGTCTACCACTTACTAGATATAACCTTCATTACTTCTGCCTATTTCCTCACATGTTAAAACAGCCTACTTCATAGGGCAATTGCTCTGAGCAAATTGAGTTAATTTGAATAAAATACTTGAAATAATGCCTAGCACAATACATACTATTTTAGTACTATTTACTAGTAAAGCATTCCATGTCAGCCTCTACCTCTTCTGAGAATCGCTGCTTGATACTATAGTGTGAATAAACTGAGTATTTCAGTACCATTGAATTAGTTGAAAAACTTTGAATGCTTTCTTGACTAATTACAAACTGGCAACTACTGTTCTATCTCACTTGCCCTCCCCTAAATACAAGAAAGTATAAGGAAATTAAGTAGCATGCAGTAAGAGTGGTAGTATTATCAATGCCAATCATGACAAGATTTGCTATATAGTACTGGGGTTATGTTATTTAACTTTCTCAATAATTCAACCAGGTAGGCCCTGTTAATTTCTTATAGATAAGGAAAATGGCTCAAAGATATTAAGAAACTTGTATTGTCACACAATTACAATTGGTGGATCCAAGACACTATCTGTCTAACTTTGCGAACTCAGTAATTCTGTTTTTACAGGGGGTGTGGGATGTGGGAGCTTGTGGAGCATTTCAGAGCTGCTGGGTGAGATTGTCTGGATGTGTGCTGAAGATTATTTGTGAGTAGGATCTGCATTTGGAATTTGGAATTTATCTCTGTTTGTGCCTATCTACCAAGATACTGATTTCGATTGATCAGAAAATTATGTCAGTAATTAAGTCTTCAAAACCTTAAGATGTGTCAGAATGACTGTTCATTGTGAATCTAAAACAGCGATTTCCTAGGAAAGTAAAGTCTTTATGGCTTTGGGACATGAATGATCTATTTCATGTGAGATTTAGGTGAACATGAATTCGGGGTTAGTGTTTTCTTCCTTAACTCTCATTTCCCTTTTAATTTATAATGGAATAATCTGCTTGGTCAGAGATATTACTAGAGTCCATGCAAAAACTAACCCCCAAAACATTAGCATAAATCTAAGAAGCAGAGTATGCTAAATTCTTTTTAAAGCCCTTCTATCTCCAAACTTGTATGACTTTAAGTTTTCTAATTATTCCAGTATGGTAAAACATTAAACACAAGTAGTTGCCAGCTGGCATATCTAAACCACTGCTACTTCATTTTCTCAGAATGGCCAGCCAAAAATTCACTCTTGTGTACAGTCTTAGCCTACTCTTACATATCCTGTCTCAATTCCTGGGCCAGCCAATATGGTGTATATTCAGCATTCTAAATGCAAAGTCTGGCATGAATTCTTGAACATATTAAAAAAAAAAGAAGTATGGCTTTGAAATGTTTTCAGGGTAGAGTCACCCAAGCCACTTACAAAACAGCAATTTGTTCATGGATGCAGAGAAAGCATGAATTCTAACCTAAAGGACTGGTTTCTATTTGCTAGTCCACTGGTGCTTATTTAACCAAACATTCCACCTGAAGCCCCATGTAATAAGCATGTCATTCTAGTGCTTTCTTCAAATTTGGACACCAAACAAAGAACCTCTTAACAGAGATTGCCACCTTTAAACCAATTTTAACCCAATTATTTATGCCAGCCATTTTCTTAATTTTTCCAACAGTCATAAAATAGAAACCATAATTTCTCGAGAGCTATTCTGTAAACTTTAAAATCAAACTGAACCAAAAATGAAAGAAAAAATGGAAAGAAACCTCATATCTAGATTTTTTTATATCTGTGTCCACACATCATTTAATTATGAACTCATTGATCTGTCCCCCCTAAATAATCAGAATGTGACTTTTGGATTTATTGCTTAATGACTGGCATTAGTATTCTGCTTATTCAATATTAGTGGAAGATGAAGACCAACCATAATTTTTGTTTCTCAGGAGAAATCATTATATTGCAAAAGAAAATTTATAAACTAGCATGGGGAGTCTTAGGTTTCTTATGTTTGAATTTAGGTTTCCTTTTTGGCTAACACATTATGGTCTCTTTAGATTTTTCTGAGTACTAAGTAGCATTCTTATTTGGACCGCACTCTTCATATTTTACTTATAAGTGCTTTCTGTATCAATTCTATGACATTAGAAGAAATGCTCTGCTTATATATTTTAGAAAGTTGTAGAACACTGTTGAATTCTACAACAGTTACATTTCAATTGCTATGAAAAAGAAGAAACATTTTTTAGTTAGTCCTAAATTTTGCAGCTAAAGTTTTTCAGTTATTTTAGGATTTACTCATCTATCTCACAGCCAATGTGAGAATAGTGCCTTTTTTCCCCTGACATTTAAAATGGATGCCTAATTGTTCCAAAGCCTCTTTCTGAAACAAACTCCAGCAAATTCATCAAGTTGCATTTTATTAAGATATATATACTTAAATGTATAAACTTATTTTAAAGTGTACTTTTGGCTAATAAACTGCTAAAAATCATAATATGTTTTTATGAGGGAACACAATCAAACCTCAATTTTTCCTCTGTATGGTTTATAGAGTGTTTTTTAAAGCCCTATAGCTTGTGCACTACACAGACTTCAATTTTTCCATGATTTAAGCATCAGTGATTTAGAGGGAACTGCAACTGGAATTAGAGAAAAAGATTGTTCAGGGAGTGGAAAACTGGGTTTTGTTTTCTGTACATTTAGCAATTAAATATTAATTGTAATCCCTGAAGCAGTACTCAACGTGTTTGCCTTTGAGGAGACTCTACTCAAATCAAGGTGGAAACAAGGTTTACATACGTGGGACAGAAAGGGAATAGCACAAGGAAGAATATAATTAAATTCTAAGTTGAGGATCCAGTATTATTAACCACAAATCAAAATTGTTGTATGGGTGCACTATCTCTTTGGTTGAACATGCATTATTTGCCTTCTAGCTGGGGATTGTGGTGAATTGGAAAATATAGTTTAGATGCCTTCATCGTTGTTATGGTCATCATCATCACTACCACCATAATCACCACCACCACCACCACCACCATCATCATCTTCAGACACCTGATGTCTCAACATCAGGGCCTATCCGAGGTGTTATGTAGAATGGATATAGTAAGTAAGTAAGTCCTCCTAGGGATTTTGAGGCTTCACTAGGTAATATGTATTAGGTAGACAGACATATGGAAAAGGAGATAATTATACAAATATTTGCATCATCAAATAACGCATTGTTCTGTAGCTCCAGTGGCAAGTGAAAACTTTCTTCTATCTCTCTCTTTCCCTCTCTCTCTCTTTCTCTCTCTCATTTCTTTGAGACAGGGTTTTGTAGCTTAGCTTGACATTGAGCTCACTATGTAGTTCAGGCTGGTCTCAAACTCACAATTCTTCTGCCACCACTTCCTGAGTACTGGGATTACAGTGTGTACTACCATGCCTGGCTGGTAAGTGGAATTTTTCTACTGAGAATGGAGGCTGACATTGTCTATAAGCTGTAGAACAAGTTTTCCTGGAAGTAGTACTTCAGAAGTCTCTTGATTGACGAGAAGTACCTCTATTCTTACTGCAAATATTTCCCTGTATTTATCAGCTATAAACTGATGGGTGGTTCACACCCATATTGTAGAACCCAAATTGTTCTAGAAGTCTATTTGTCCAGGAATATACTTTGATTGTTTTAGTAAATTAGTATTATGAACTTCTAGTATATTTATTATTTTGATTCAGTAGATAATATTCTGTTAAAAATAAGGACATATATAAGATGTGCTTTTGCTGGCAGTAATTAGTGGCAGTGGGCCATGATTACCCAGGAAATTCTGGTGCTCCAGTTTAGGAAGCCAATGTTCCCATCTTCTCCTGGTTGAGGGTTCTTTTTGTTGAGAGTCACTGCATCAGTGAATCATTCTTCCTGCTAAGTGTATGTACTAATTCCTTAGGTACATTGGCTTAGATTCTGGTATTGATTCACTATATATGCTATGACCTTTACATACTTTTCACTTTTACAGCAAACCCAGTACGTAGGAATGAAACCCCAATGAATCTTCCAAATATAATCCATGCAACATTGAGCCAACAACTATAAGAGCCAAAAATTGAATGTATCAACCACTAGGATTCAAATCTTCTATCAAAGATGGTTTTGTTTGAGTTATTGGAACCTATGTTAACCTCACCCCACCTAACTCTTTGGGGTTTATTTGTTTGTTTTTGCATAGAGATAAAAGAAGGATATTCTGTGTCTTTGCTCTTTTGCCCTAAAGGGATAACCACCGTACTCACTATGACCACACTGAGCATCAGCGCCCGCCATTCTTTGCCCAAAGTGTCCTATGCTACTGCCATGGATTGGTTTATAGCTGTCTGCTTTGCTTTTGTATTTTCGGCCCTTATTGAGTTTGCTGCTGTCAACTATTTCACCAACATCCAAATAGAAAAAGCCAAAAAGAAGACATCAAAACCTCTTCTGGAAACTCCAGCTGCTCCAGTGCTTAGAGAAAAGCATCCTGAAACAACTCTGCAGGTATTTGACTTAATCATCTTCAGTCTATCATTTTTAGCTTCTTGGTCAAATTTGTGTTGCTAGAGGAAAAGTAGAACTTGGAAATATCAGTGACAATCTCTAAATAAGAGTCCAGGAAAATATAAAAAAAGACATTTAGGAGTTCAAATTTTGAAATAGTGGCGACTAGCTTAAAAATTAAATTGCTCTTAATGAACTAGATATAGATAAAATTGGTTTTTTGTTGTTGGTTGGAAAGTTTCTTTCAAAATATAAACTTTTTCACAGAAAGTGGCAAGTTTGTTTATACCATTAAGGGGAATCTGTGAGTGTAGTCGAGTGGGTTGGAAAGGGGTTTAGTGGAGTACATTGAACAAAGCAGAGAAGTGATTTTTTTTCTTGTGGTCTTGGTGATAGACTCCAGGACACTGTGAATGCTAGGCAAGTGCTCTACCACTTGAGCAGCATCCCCAGCTCAAAGTGATGGTTCTTAATGTGGCTTCAATTAGAACAATTCCATGGGATTGGATGTGACCTGTTCCATTGCATTAAAGAAGAGAAGAAAACCAGCAAACAAGAACACCCATAATTTTAATTGATGTGCATCCAAGATTGAGAATTCTTGCTGTAAGGAGACATATTTAAGAGAATGTAAAAAGCTTAATAAGAACTACTGTAGTTTACATTTGGCTTATCAGAGATTCTGTGATTAAACAAATGAAGTATCTTTTCCCACATGGACTCTTAATTGTATAAATGATCAAGATCTTCATGGAAATAAGGAAATTAGACAGGTGGCCTTTCTCTTTTCATTCTTCTTTTTCTCCCTCCTCCTGTAGATGCTACAAATCATAGTATAAAACTCCTTTATCCTGTATATACACAAATCCAAGTGTGATAGAAATCATCAACTTAGCTTTTTACAAATGACAGCTCAGTTCCTTCTTCATTCATTCACTAACTTATTGCCAGCTATGGGCAAGACTCTATGTATAGTCTAAGAATCAATAATGTGTTTAAAATACCCAACATGTATCCTGCAGTATGGAGTTTGCATTTATTTGTCCAGGAGGGAGGGAATGCAGACTACTTAAAAAATGTAAATAATAAAATAAGTAGTATATTAGATAAGGATAGTGCCGTAATAATGGGACAGCACTAAAGGGGTCAGGAAGTGGGGAGCAGGGTAAGAAGGCTCATTTCTCAGAGACAACAGTTGAACAAATGTGGTTAGGTGTGTACCTTGACAGGAATGACCTGGCCAGAGTCTTACAGTTTATATCTCCCTTCCAAAAGGGCTGTGGGTGCTGACAGATCTGTTAGAATGGCCTGTGAGTAGATAGGAAAATGAATGTCTTTCCATTAAGTAAGTTTAAGGCAAGCTACTCATAAACTACTGTAGTTCCTTTGAATTGAATTCGTTTCATCAAGATTTTCTAAATCATCAGAATGCATTTTGCAAACTATTTTCAGTTTAAAAAAATACTGAGTATATAATTTCATTCTCGTCCCCATTCTCCTTGGTAAACCTAAGCCTTCTTCTGCTTTTTATGGCTGTTCTATTTTGTTTTTGTATTGAAGCTTTGATCAAAGAATTCTATTTATGGCTTCTTTAAAAACATCAAATTTTGGACTTGCTTTTCTTTTTTGATTATTGACTCATGATTTTATTTTAATTCCTTTTTTGTGGAGGTTACTTTTATTCTAGTTTCTTGAGTTTACTTTGTACTAATTTATTTTCACTGTTTCTTATTTAATAATAAGTTTCTTTTATTGCAGTGAGATTTCTTTTGCATATAACTCTGGCCATGATTCATCATTTTGATATACAATATTATCATAATTATTAAGAATTATTTGAAGATAATATTAAAATTTCCAAGTGGAATTTTTTCATTTATTTAACTCTATTGTAAATTTTTAATTTCATCGGATGTGTTCTGAAATATTACCTATACTGACTTACATGTTACAGGTAGTCTCATTGTGACCTGAGTTATGCCAAAAGATTATAAATGGCAATTGAAAAATGTTAATTTTTAGTTATTATAATCGATGTTCTTGAAACATTATTTTGCCATTTTAATAAGGTATTTCTAGTGTTCAGATTATTAAAATACTAAAATACATGAAATATTTTTGTTTTATACATTTTGGTGCTATGACATTCAACATTTAAAGTTTCACAACTGTACTATATCCATATCAGTCTATGCATTTAATCATAAAATGGATTTTAATTCTCTCTCCCCTTTAATGTCTTTGAATTTGATTTGATTTCATTGTTTTCTTTTCCTTTTTTATTTTTTTAGGTATTGAGACTCAAACCCAGGGCCTAGCACATGCTGTATAATTACTCTACCACTGATCTACACCACAGCCCTGATTTTAATAGTTTTCCTCCTTCTTTTTGTTTCTGTTGTACTGGGGACTGAATCCAGACTTATGCTTTAATAGGCATAAGTTCTACCACTTGATATATGCCCCCAACCCCTTATAATTTTTCTTAATATTAACTTTGCCATTGTATTTTTATTGTTAAAGTTTTCCTTTCCCAGTATACTCTGGAAATTATATGTCCTCTTTTTATATCACTAGTGGTTAAATTAAGATTTAAAATAATATATTTCAAATTGAGATTTTTCTAGTAACATTGAAATTAGAAACTATACTGACTGATCCATGTAGCTATGAACTCAGTCCAACTCCAAGATTGCTCATTCTAAAGACTGTAGGTTTGGAAATGTATTTTATATAAACTTGTGTAAATCTCTGTTTAGTGCCAGGCACAGTGGTGTACACCTGTACCACCTGTAATATCAGCTGCTTGGGAGACTGAAGAGGAAGGATGGGCTACATGTGAGATTATGTCTCAAAAAAAAAAAAAGAAAAAGAAGGAGGGATGGGTTAAGGCATGGAACACTTGTCTAGTGCACTTGCAAGCCTATGAGTTTAAGCCCAAAATACTGCCAAAATAATTAATAATTAATAATAATGATGATAGTGATAATAAAGAAAAAGAAAAAATTGCTTTTAATGTATTGATGTAGTTCTTTATATTTTTGCAAACTAATGAAACTTACTGTACTTGTACAATGAAGAAATATTAGAAATGTCTTACTCAAAATAAAATCATTTTGCAGAATTCCAAAGATAGAAAGATAACCAATAACCTTCCATTTTCTCCCTGAAACATATCTCTTGACTATGGCAATTGCTGTCACAGGAAATGCTTGGCATAACCCATTCTGATTGGTTAAGTCATTTAGATGCAGTGATTTCTCTTTGAGCGCAGTGCACAGGCTGTGTGCACATAACGTATCGAAGGTCTAGAAGATGAAATGTGTTTGTGAAGTGTGAAGAGTTACACCATGTCAGCATTGGGAATGACTAAAATAAAACTAGTTAAGATATGCACTGAGGGACTGTGTATGTGTAATAGCTTACATATTGATGTTCTAAGGACAGTGATCAATGGGTTGTCCCACCCAACTTCTTCTTCTTGTTTAGTTGCATTGAGGTTTGAACTCAGAGCTGTGCTCTTACTAGACAGGTGCTTTACCACTTGAGCCAGCTCTTCAGCCCTTTTTCTCTGTTTTCTCAAGATAGAGTGTTTCTTTCTGCCCAGGCTAGCTTGAACTATGATCCTCTTATTTTAAACTTCCCACAGTAGCTGGGATGACAGGTGTGTGCCACCACACCCCCACCATGGCATCCAGCTGATGGGATCTTGCAAACTGTTTGCTCCAACTGGCCTCAAATTTCCCAATCTCAGCTTCCCAAATTGCTAGGATTACAGGTGTGAGCTACTGATGTCAACCTTTCTATGTCCACCTCCTTTGCCAGAATATAGCTGGCTCAGAGTGTCAGTTACAGCAAGTTCAACTGTGAAGTTAGGAGCACATTAAATGGGAGACAAGTGGGGAGATAGATAAATAGGGAGAAAGAAATCAAGAAGCAGAGAGTTAAAACCAAAATGTTACAACTTATTACTAACATGAAATATTCTAAGAATCTGCTAAGGTTTGGAGTTTCAGTAGAGATTCTAATTAGACAGCTGAAATTTGCTTACGCAAATAAGTATTCCAGTATATGCCACTATTTACTTTTCTGAATGATGTTGCCTTTTCTTAAAGTGTATTTGAGTCTCTAATTTGAAATGGAGTTTAGAGTTTAATGACATTTAGTAGTTCAGTAGTCCTTTGGGAAACTCATTAGTGGCTTGATTCATTGTCGCCATATGTGACCTATGGACTGTTAATGGCCTGGCAGAAGCTCATGATAACCACTTCTATTCTTTGGGGATTGGAAAACATATGGTTTATGGAATATTCATGAAACAAGGAGAAGGTCCACTTGGCAGGATGCAAGGGTAGCTATCCATAGGTTGAGTGTATCTTTGGATATCTCAGGAGGAGCCAAAGCAGTTATTATGTTTCTGTTCATCATTACTTTAATTTTGCCTTTGACTCTGTCCTAATACTTGATATGAGCTACTTCTTATGGTTCTTCATTCCATATGCTTACTACTTTTTAATGTATCTACATAAAGGTGCATACTATTTTGGATGAATCGAATGATTTGAAAAATGAGTAACTATAGAATTTTAAAAAAGAAAGCTCTCTTAACAAAAATTGTATTTAAAAAAATCACTTGGCTATTATTTAGTCCTTTTCAGCCACAAAGTATGCACTAATGTATGCATACTGTATCTTATGAAAACAGAGATATGAGAATAGCTCCTTATTAATTGAACTCTTACTTTGTATAATGTATTATGTGATGTACTTTACATAGGTGACTTAATTGCAAGCTCACAATAACTATTTGCACATGAAGGAACTGAGACTTGCAGGTGTTACATGATCTGTTCATGATAATACAGCTAAAAATGGTAAATCTAATGTTGAAATTAATTCTGTTGTGTTTGTATGGAGTGCTTGTTTTCTTAAATGATTTTTATCATTTTATTTATGATATCTATATAAATAATAGATATCAGGATGTGGGAGGTAGATAT